CACCTAGAGTAGACAAAGTATAGTAAGTGTTAACTGTGTAGAACCACCTAGAGTAGACAAAATATAGTAATTGTTAATAATGTAGAACCACCTAGAGTAGACAAAGTATAGTAAGTGTTAACTGTGTAGAACCACCTAGAGTAGACAAAATATAGTAGGTGTTAACAATGTAGAACCACCTAGAGTAGACAAAGTATAGTAAGTGTTAACTGTGTAGAATCACCTAGAGTAGACAAAGTATAGTAAGTGTTAACTGTGTAGAATCACCTAGAGTAGACAAAGTATATAAGTGTTAACTGTATAGAACCACCTAGTAGTAAAGAGTAGAAAGTGTTAACCACCTGAGTTAGAAACTGTTAACAATCGTCTATAGTAGAGTAAATGTTAATAATGTAGAACCACCTAGAGTAGACAAAGTATAGTAAGTGTTAACTGTATAGAACCACCTAGAGTAGACAAATATAGTAATTGTTAATAATGTAGAACCACCTAGAGTAGACAAAGTATAGTAAGAGTAGAACCACCTAGAGTAGACAAAGTATAGTAAGTGTTAATAATATAAAACCACCTAGAGTAGACAAAGTATAGTAAGAGTAGAACCACCTAGAGTAGACAAAGTATAGTAAGTGTTAATAATATAAAACCACCTAGAGTAGACAAAGTATAGTAGGTGTTAACAATGTAGAACCACCTAGAGTAGACAAAGTATAGTAAGTGTTAACTGTATAGAACCACCTAGAGTAGACAAAGTATAGTAAATGTTAACTGTATAGAACCACCTAGAGTAGACAAAGTATAGTAAGTGTTAACTGTATAGAACCACCTACAGTAGTCAAACTATAGTAAGTGTTAACTGTATAGAACCACCTAGAGTAGACAAAGTATAGTAAGTGTTAACAATGTAGAACCACCTAGAGTAGACAAAGTATGGTAAGTGTTAACTGTGTAGAACCACCTAGAACAGACAAAATATAGTAATTGTTAACAATGTAAAACCACCTAGAGTAGACAAAATATAGTTAGTGTTAACAATTTAGAATTACCCAGTGTAGACAAAGAATAATAAGTGTTAAATGTATAGAATCAGTAAGCATAGACATTATATCTTAAGTGTTAAATGTATAGAATCAGTAAGCATAGACATTATATCTTAAGTGTTAAATGTATAGAATCAGTAAGCATAGACATTATATAATGAGAGCTAATCATGTAAAATATACAAGTGTATGCAATGTATAGTAAGTGTGGACTCTGTAGATCTACCAAGAATAAACTGTGTGTATACATGTGTACTCTGTAGAACCACAAAGAGTAGACAGTGTGTAGTAAGTGTAGACTGTGTAGATCCACCTACGTTAGACAGTGTGTAGTAAGTGTAGATTCTATAAATCCACCAACAGTAAATGGTTTGCAGTAAGTGTGGACACAGTAGAACCACCAAGGGTAGACAGTGTGAACTCTGTAGACCCACCAAGAGTGGACTGTGTGTAGCAAGTGTGGACTCTGTGGATCCACCAAAGGCAGACAGTGTGTAGTATGTGTGAATTCTGTAAATCCACCAAGGGTAAACAGTGTGTAGTAATTGTGGACTCTGTAGAACCATCAAGTGTAGACAGTGTGGACTTTGTAGAACCACAAATGGTAGACAGTGTGTAGGCAGTGTGGACTGTTTAGATCCACCAACGTTAGACAGTATGTAGTAAGTGTAGATTCTGTAAATCCACCAACAGTAAATGGTTTGCAGTAAGTGTAGACTCTCTAAAACCACCATGGGTAGACAGTGTGAACTCTGTAGAATCACTGAGGGTAGACAATGTGGACTCTGTAGAACCACCAAGAGTAGACAGTGTGTAGTAAGTGTGGACTTTGTAAAACCACCAAGGATAGACAGTGTGCAGTAACTGTAGACTCTGTAGAACCACCAAGGGTAGACAGTGTAGACTCTGTAGAATTACAAAGGGTAGACAGTGTGAACTCTCTAGAACCACCAAGGGTGGACTGTATGTAGTAAGTGTAGACTCTGTAGAACCACCAAGGGTAGACAATGTGGACTCTGTAGAATCTCAAAGGGTAGACAGTGTGAACTCTGTAGAACCACTAAGGGTACACAATGTGGACTCTGTAGAATCTCAAAGGGTAGACAGTGTGAACTCTGTAGAACCACTAAGGGTACACAATGTGGACTCTGTAGAATCTCAAAGGGTAGACAGTGTGAACTCTGTAGAACCACCAAGGGTTGACTGTGTGGACT